TTCTAGAAATTTGTAGTAAGTTCCAGACTCATTATGTATGCTGATGTAATGGTCTATTTATAGACAGTGTGGGTATATATAGGGGAGTTGTTCAGCACTGAGATCAGATCGGAGATCTCGTTGAATTGTGTTGGAGTTTAAGTATCTAGTTATTGGAGGTTTGGAGTTTTACCGAGTTATTGTACTTGATGTTTGCAGAGTATAATAATACCAGTACCAGTTGAAACCTCATCTGTTGACTCCGTGTTCGTATGTTATCATCGCCGCCAGGGAAGTCTTTATGTTACTGTTGCCATTTTGGTATTTGGACCATCACACCTGTACTATACCAATTACGGTAATATTACGTTGCGTGTGACAGTTGGGTCTTTTTGATGCAAGTTGTTGACCTGAAATAGTTATAAATTTAAATACTTGGTTATCAAACTATCGCGTTCTGAAACGTGTTATATCAACACTATAAAATGTGGGGCTTCAGGCTCACTGGTCTCTCAGTATCAAACTCCAAGCTACGTACCCTTTGTGAAACATTATGAAAACTGACAAATGGGCTTACCCTTGTTATCTTCCTATTATTTCATGGGTACTCTCCCTAACTGTCGGGAAATGTGGTCTAGATTCTGACTTGGCAGTCAGTGAGTGGCCATTAGATTGATTGGCTGATTTATATGCAAGATGCTGATAATCTGAATAAGATTTTGACCAATAGATGACAGTTGCATGTTTTTCTGCACACACTGTGGAATACATTTACATGGTTAGTGAGGAAAATCTAAGCAACATGACTAAATTGTTATGGAGAAAAACTACAAAACAATTGGAAGGTTATCAGGCTAACATGGTCCAATGTTTGCAGACCAACTCTCAAACTTTAAATTCATCATGGATGGATGATGATTTCTAAACTTGACTTTCTGAAGCTTAGACAAGTCAAAACAAGGCGGGATAGATTATGATGAGAGATAGACATTCAGGGATAAATTAAGGTTGTGATGCTCTACTTTAAATTACAAAGTGTATGGAGTCCAAGTTCTTTAGAAGGTAAATCCAAGAGGATCTGGAATTGAGCTAGTATGTTCTTCTGATTCAGACACTTGTCCTATGTTCTTCTAATGTAAGAAATGGTATGAATCGTCCTCTTCCTAAGTTACCGCAATGCTGCTCTGAGAAACCCCACTCTTTTCAGCCGCCGCCGCTGCTCTCAAAAACATTACTGCCATGCTTGATTTCCGCACCTTTACATTTGTCTATGATTTCCACAGTTGTTCTGCGAGATGCGTCCTCGCTGTTCATAAACAGCCATAAACAAAAAGGCTGCTGAATTTATTTGGGTCGGCATGTACTCATTGGTTTATTTCAGTTTTGCTTTTCCTTTTGAGGGCATACTAATCATAACGCTATGTCGAACAACTGAAATACTGCATTCTGGGTAGATCTGTATTAATTGAGGTAACGCACAAGCTGCTATGATTGTTTACGGCTGACACAACTTTCAAGTTTCCACTATGGCCAGGGATATTTTATACAGTTCAGTTATTGTTGTTTTTGCACAAATATCGAATGAGTTACTTTATAATAATATTGTTTTTCTTGTTTAATGATTTAAGCCTTGACTTGCATGTTTTCATGGGAAGAACATTGATGAATTGGTGTGCCACTTACTCTTCCCAAATTAATACTGCCATCAATTGATCTGATTCTTGTTGGCGAGTTCACTCAAAAAAAAAAGTGCATATAAAAAATTGCAAAGTGTTTCCCTATCAGCTTTTGTCCTGAATTCGCAATTTATTTCTTGCCCTGTCTGGTCATCCACCAGATTTGCACAGTCATGTACTTCACTTTCAAGTGATAAATCCATATCATGTTTAACATTGATTTTTGCATTTCTATTTCAGACTTTGGACAAGCTTAATAAGGCGTGTGCTGAGTGGTCCGATCATATCAGCTCATCTGGCAAAAAATATTTTTATAACTTCAGAACTGAGGTTTCACAGTGGGAAAAGCCCAAAGAATGGGCACAGAGGTACGTCACCATACAGATAAAAGAAATGCAACTCTATTACTTGAATTTCATCCTGACTATCCTTCCCAGACCTTCCAAGATTTTGCACTTCTATGAATCACTTTTCTATACGAGTGCGTGTGTAGTTTCTTTGGAGTGAATTGTGTCGTGATATTGTTGCTGGTCTTCATCTGATGATTGTCCCATTTTCTGAACTTCTTGAGATCCTGTGTTATGTGTGAAACATAAAAACAGCACAAACAAAGATTACAGCAAACACAAAAGTATATTATGGTTATTTTCATGTTTTATATTGTTGATGCTTGTCAATTATTGTGAAGTAATTTTTTCTCAACGCATGTTCCTCTGATCAGTATTTTTAAACTCAACTATAAAAAAAAGTTCAAATCATTCAACTTTCTTTAACACATAAAATGAGATCTTGTAGAATTTTGTTATATCTCTTTTATTTGAAATTCAGAGACTGACATTTCTAATGGCCTAATTGTTTGTAGTGTCGACTTTGCTGTTTGGAAGCTAAATAAACAACTAATAAGTAGACCAACTAATGTTTCATATTTATATTATTTGCACTGCTAGAGTATTTTCCGGGAGAATTAAATCATGACTTAGAAACTGGTAAATGTTTATCAGGATGATACAAGTTGAAATTAGAAAAAAAAATGTTGTAAAATGCTATCTGGATTAAAGTTGTACACTGAGGTCATACATGTATTTGGACTTGATGATCTGAATTTGAACTTGAACTTGAACTTGAACTTGTGGTAAAAATGTACAAATCATTGAAATTACTCTTGCATGTCTGAATGTTAATAGTTCATGTTCTAATACTGCTTTGGATAGCGTTCCAATATTTAAAAACTCGCAAGGATTAGCCTCTGTTTCAGAATAATATGCATCACAAATCCTTTTCATGCCATTTGCACATGTTTGTGCCATTTAATATTTTGCATAATGATCTAAATAAAGCTATAGGAATGATTTCAGAGTGCAACTGTAACATTTAACCATGACCTTGTCATCCCCATGTACTTATAGGCTGAGAACACAAGGGTTAATGATGTAAATAACATCTGCGATATTGTCATCAGTTTAATGCGTTGGACACCAGGTTTTCTTCAACTTGTCAGTTAGACAATCTATTCTATGTATAACAAATGAATTAATACTGATGCTTTCATTCTTTGCAGGGATATTTTACTCAAAGAGCTTCAAAAGCTCAAAGAGAGAAAAGATTGTATTAGTAGTAGTAGCAGCAGTAGCAGACCAAAAACTTTACATACAATTAGTAGCAGTAGTAGTGGCAGTAGATCAAAGGGTAAGTAGAAATAAGGACGACTAAATACTGGTCCTTCAGTGATTAGTCTTGTCACATTGCCAATATGCCAACAAAACTAGTTTGGAGCTAAATTGATCACAAATTGCCAGGGCTGAACTTGATGGTGACATAAAAAGCAGTTGCCTTGATGGCCAATGCTCAATGTATTATGTCTCCTAAAAACTGCTACAGTCTTTAAGAACCATAGTCAGGAGGAAATGTATTTGGTTTGTCAAAAACGCATATGTAATTTTAACTCTTTATTGTGATTTGAAATGTAACAACTTCTGACAATTTATATATATTTATAAACTGCGATATATTTAATAAGGAAAAAAATCCGCAATTTTCCTGCTTCGCATTTTCCACAAAAGTTGACTCTTGTGAAATTAAAATACTGTAGAATACTTTATTTTTGTTTGGAATTAATTTTCGCTATTTTTGCTGAAGAAATGATTCAGTGAAAATAAAATCCAGCGAATACTTTCAGTCAACTGTCAAAAATCTGTGAAACTAAATTCCATACAAAACACTAAAAATGTCTATTCAGCGAAAATTAATTGCAGCTAAAATAAAGTATTTTACAGTAGTAAATTAAAATGAAATTAAATTTGTTTGTGGTAGCTTTCGAAAGATATGGATAATCATTCATTGAGGCAAATTTGTTTGTGAAACTAAATGCCCTCTCAACTCTGAACGTCAAGGCCTGTAACAACATACAAGTTGAGAATGCATGTATGTTTTCAAGTATGTAGAAACAAAATCTGATATCGCAAAAAGCAGGAAATGATTAACAATTTCATAGAATACTTTCACAATTGGTTTATTGATTTAGAAGCATGAGGCACTTCCCTTGGGCAGTAATACTTCTGTAAGCACTTAATTTTGCCGCAGATGCATTGGAAAATCACTAAATTTTGTACCACTGAACACTTCAGTGTTGAAAGAAACCATGGAGAAGAATTGATTCATGATTTCTGGATTTGTCTTTTATTTTGTTTTACATAGAAAATCGTGGATGTTTTGTATGGTCTTTCACCAATTTTAGATGAGTTGGAATGTAAAATAGAAGAAAAAGAGTATAATTGCTGGGTTTTATTTTCATAGAATCATCTCTTCAGTGAAAATAACAAAAATAAAGTATTTTACAGTATGTTGAATGGAACCTATAACGAACACTATGCATTGTTATTTTAAATTCACATTTGGACAGAAATTTTTATACTGTCAAAAATTATGACATTGGTTTTTCCTGAATTCTTGATTTATTCTTTTTCACGACATATTGTTCTGATCACCAAAACAGCAACATTGTCAGCTCATTTGCTATGCGTGTCAAGTTATCCAAATAAAATGTATCTACTGACACAGTATGAAATATCCGGACACAGGCGATGGTGTGTCTGGTGCGTGTCATAATGCTCGAAAATTAGTGCATTAAGCCGAATGACGCATCCTCGTAAAGGTGGTTTGACGTCACTTGTTCTAATCATGTAATGATCTGGAGGGGCTCATAATAATCCAGTCAACAATATAGCTGGTTGCGTTTTTTGGTGTTGAGTACAAATAGCAGTGACATTTAGGATTAGATCAAGAATTCCGAGAAACCTTTGTCATAATTTTTAACAGTAATGAAAAAATCCGCACATATTCACATTCAAAGTAACAAATAAATACACTGTCTGAAATCAAACTAATGTCCAGTTACTATATTTATTTGATAGGAATTGAATCTAAGCATTCCAGCAGTGATGCTAACAGGCCTGTACAGCACCAGACCCAGTCTAGCAGTCGTCATTCAACGTATGACAGACCAAGTCAACACAAACCAGTGTTGTCAGCGTTACAAAGAACGTCTGATACAACACAACAAACTAGTAATAGACAACATGAACATAAAAATTCAAGATCAAGTAACACACCGACGACGACAGAAACAACAAAGTCATTACACAGGCATAATATAGGTGAGTTTATTGGATATCTGAATTATTGCTGTCGTACATCACATTGGTTGAATCTTATTTGTGTCTCAAGTCAATACTGCCTGCAGTGCTTTGTTAATACTGTAAAACTGAGTAAATTTTACTGATAGGATTGTATATGATTGAAGGTTGCAAATTGACTAGTATTAGTTAGCTGTACTTTGATGAAAACCAACAATGCGTTATGCTTTTCATTCACGTCACTCTGAGAAAAATATTACCTGTATATTACATATATGTTGCTTGTGAAAATGTCTTGCATTCTTTGCAAAAGTCGCAATCCATGGGCCATTGATGTCGTCTCTTGTTTCGTTGAGACATATTAACTGCAATGGTTGTATTTGAAATAAATATATTTTGGAATGATCATTGAAAGGAAAGTTGTAAATTAATCTGTTTGGTGTCAGATGTGAATAGCTCTTCTTCATTTGCTCTGGTCATACCATCCAATATTTGTATTACGAACATCAGATAGGTGTAATTTGGTGGAGATTGCCGACAAAATGTTTGATGTAATCAGATTACACTGCAACTATTACTTTTTGCGACTTGTTTTAATGATGTTCATTTATCCAGTTTGAAAATACATCTGCATGTTAAAGTAACTCGAGCATGATTTGTAGATTCCGCTGAACTTTGATTAAATAATCCACAAATTTTAATGAGACATACTACCCTACTAATATAACAATGTTCATTAGTTTGTTGAGCCTGCAAAAGAATGTTGATACAAGGATAGAAGCCTACTCATTTGCACTGGTTTGTTTTGTAAAATAATTGAGGTATTGTCCTATAAAACCAGAAAATAGCATTTTTTGTTTCAGGTTTTACAATGACATATTTTGAAAAAAAAACTATTCTTAATATTTTTCAAAAATCACTATTTGGAATAATTCCATAGAACAATTGTAGTTGTTGACGCTATTTAGTATCCCATCAATAACAATACATGATTTTGTTCACCCTATATCACTAGCCTACAATTTGAGATGTGGCATAATATTTCTGCTTCATAGTAAAAGCAATATGCTGACAAAATATCCACTAAAGTACAATTTATTGCAAAATGGATAAATTTGCATTTATGAGTAGGCCTCTCTCCTTTAATACTGTATCAACCAAATTTGCATTTATCATAGAATATCATTCATTAATTATGTAACCATAGAAAACCTGTGTCATTCACATACAACAAATAGAGCAGATACGATGTAGTGTAAACCATTTATTTTCAGTGTTATTTAATTTCACTATTTTGAGCATATGCCCTGGGTTTTCAGTTGACAAATTAACAGTGAAGCAGGGGGTACAACTACAATTCTACCTGTTCATGTGGATTAGCAAATTACACTTATCAGTGGAAATAGCAAAAAATTATGCCAGTTGATAAAAACCTTCAGAGCTCCATTTTCAACTTTTGGCACTATCTACAAAATTATTTTATACAGTATGCTTCTTACTGCACAAAATGTTGATGAAAATTGACAAAACTTTTGATCAAAAACTAAAAGAAATGTATGATAATGAGATTTAGTGAAAATTTTACAAAATGTGAAAATATTTGTACTAAATTTTTAGCGTGAATTTCAAAGGTTTAATATGCCTTTACAGTAAAGCATGCACCTCTGTCATTTTTTGGATAATTTTTTTATTATTTGTGCTTTTGTTTGCAGAATCCCCTCTTGTACAGGATATGTCATCACCGACCACTCCCCAGTCAACAAGTTCTCGACATTCACAGCATCATCATCATCCACTCAAATCACCGTTACTACATCGACAGTCGTCCAAGTCACCAATAGTTGTGAATAGTAATCAACAGGGTCCAAGAACAGATGAACTTTCCTATAATGGTAAGAGATATCACAACTAATGCTATAGGCTACTTTCATGACCCTTGACCTTTTCAAATTATTCTGCACCTTTTTCTTGTATTCTTCAATATTTCTGGAAATGAACCCTTATTTTGGGGTCAACAGACAAAATTTGAATCAATTGTCAGTTATTACTCAAAACGTGTGCCTATTTTTGTTCCAATCTTCTGAAGGAAGTGCAGATTATATAAATGGAACTATTTTCTGAAATTGTGATGAAAATGGGAAAATTGGTAGTGGAAATTTTAAAGGTCACACATCCTGGTACTTTTGTTGGTATGACAGCATCAGACATGCACAATTTTGGCATTTTAATGTTTCCTGCAACATTTTTCTTAAGTAGTTAAAACAAATAGTCAAGTCTAGGAACTATAAAATGAACTAATTTTTGCTTTTCATATAGTTTAAATTAGGAATTACAAAATCTGCATATTCATTTGAATGTCGGTAATCTTGTCATTTCTGTGTGGTTATTTCAGGTCAATCTTTACAACAAAAGTTACAACAAGTAGAGAAAAATATTACAAGTGGTGAGTAGACTCCTCTTCTTTTTATGTAGACTTTACTCGGTTTCCAAATGACAGTGATTTTAGTCATACAGAAACATTACATGCCCATGGCTACTTCTCACCTACAACACAACACCCACTGAAAGCCTCTATGGACAGCTGAAATAAAAGGAGAAAAATTGTCATTGCTGTAAAATATGTATTAGAAGCCTTGACTTCTATTGAAATGGTATATTGCAACAGAAGAAAGTGTTTGGTTTCTTGTAGAGCATCTACACTCAGGAAATGATAAATTGGGCAAAAAGAATGGGTGTGACTTCCATTAGGGATGGGGATTCTAATGCAGATTTTACTGTACACTTCCTTGTTTTTGATTACCAGTACACAGATTTCTAATATCACTTTACATGCAGTTTAATCTAGCAAGTTGGAACAGGACCATCAAGCAGCTGTGTAAAAATAACCATAGACTGAGAGAGACTCAATTTGATTTAATTTGATTCACTTCTGGGTTTGTATTTAATTTGTGTTCTTTTGTTGACAGCAACAAATCAAGCGTCGCCAATGTCTTTAGCGTCTGCAGCGTCAGATTTGTCATCTCCGCAATTTTCACCGCATTCAACACATGTTTCCACACCATCATTATCTAATAAACAACAGTTACATGAGGAGAAAAGTTCGGACTCGCCTAATAGCCATAAATCACGGTAAGCCCGGAGATGATGTTTATTATGTAACTGCAATTTTGAATTCTATGATGCTATCAGTATTGTGTATCTTTAATGTAAACTTTCTGTGGAGTCAAATTTGTTTATTACCAAAATGCCATTATAAGTCGCTTAGCCATATCACATAGTCCCAAATATAATTGTTTTATGGCACAAAGCACTGTTTTTACCATTAACAGTTGAACATGAATAAATTTGGATACGAAAATGTCAGGAGAAACATCCATGACCTCCAAGCCATTGAATTTGTACACTGTATGTAAGTAATCATTTATTGTTAATTACAGGGAAGCAAGTCCTGCACGGAGTATAGGTAGCCATACGTCGGGAGTTTGCCATAGTAACCTTCCATCAGCCCCACAACTACCGTCATCTGTATCGTTAACTTCATCGTTGGTGCAGCATTATAATGAAACTTTAACGAATCATGTACTTGGGTGGCCGGCCGAACATCTTGAAAGACAGGTACGTTGCAGACAGCTTGTTCATCAAATCAGGGTTAGTTCTCCAGTGAAAGCAGTAAAATTCAGAACACAAACTCGGTCTCGAAGCTGTTTATTCATAAACTTCTTCTATTAAAAGCGTTATACACATACGTAAGTGTGTTCACTGTCAAAATAAGTTATATTTTAATAATCCAGCATACAAAAAATGGAATTTTTGGTTTGTGTGAGTTTTTAATAATAATAACGCAATATCATAATAAACTGACTTGCATGCTGTTATTATTACTTAGGCTCAGAGGTTTAATGAAGAGGCACATATTATTGGTAGTCAGAATAGTTCACAAATATCTGTGGATCTAAAGTTTGCTAGATCATTAGTAAGAGTTTCCGAAATTCAATCAACGTTACAAGAACAAAGGTGAGTATGTAGCACTATGACACATTGTGTTAGTACCACATGGATATTGCAAGTATGCATATTTTAAAAATGGTTACATGTTTCACTGAAAACTTGTTATTTTAAATTATTGGTGGACCGTCAATAGTTCTTTTCGATTTCCACTTGCACAGAACAGTGCGTACATTGATTCTGCTATGCTGTGTGTGTGCATGCATCTATGTGTTAATTGCTTATCACACAATCATGTTGCATATTATTCACAGCTGTGGTGCATGGTGTGAAATATCACATCAACAATTGGATTAAACTTCATCATTTGATAAGTGTTAACAGTACATGGGGGGGGGGGATTATTCTTCACAGTAGCCTGTTTATCGCCGTGCTATAATTTCAGCTTGACCTTTACTTTGTAGATAATACTAATTCCTAATTAACAAGTTGCTTACAGTGGTCAATATTGGATGAGACTTGTGGTATTCCCTTGACTGACCTCATTGTCTTGCAAAAGTATCTGTAATTTATAGTAGGTCTGTTCATCCAATAACTACTTGCACATTGATATCCTCGGGGGCGGACATCCGGGCATTTTCTACCGCCTGGCAACCCTGGCGGTGAAAACAAAGACCAGAAAACGGTACTTTGCGATGGTTGTTGAGAGTCCCCTGAACAGTGTAACAAGATTAGCCCTACGTGTGTAACATATATGAATTTGGTTGTTCAGGATTACTTCAAAGTTGAGTTTGTGTTGTTTTCTCGAATTTCCACCGGCGTTCCACAGCAGCGCGCACAAAGCCCATAGAAATACGTGGTACAGTGATGCGCGTCTTAGCAACGTAGAACGTCTGAGATGTAGCTCCGCCCCCGAGGATATGAGCTCCAACAAACAAGTTTAGTTTGTACTCGTGCTATACAGTAGCTGCATCAAATCACCTCCGTGTACTCCGCTCCCCCATTCAGTCATCACCAGCTGTTTGTACGTATACTCAATGTGTTTCATCACCTGCATGTATGTTGCCCTGTACCTTGTGTGTGACATAATAGTGAGCGTGTCACCACACAGCATCATGAATATTGCAAGTGTCCAGTTAGAGAAAATATCACACTGCTGGTCCTGTGTGAGGTACCGACCCTACAAATTTTCTGCGTCTGTCCGTCCGTCCGTCTGTCTGTCCGTCCGTCCGTCTGTCCGTCCGTCTGTCCGTCCGTCTGTCTGTCCGTCCGTCCGTCCGTCCGTCCGTCCGCCGGCCTGCCATCCATCCATCTTTGATCTAAAGTTAATGTTGCTCATTTCTGTTTGACCCACAGCATACAAGTAGTAGTGTCCAGGGTTTGCGCTAGTGTCTCGGCAAGACGAGTCCCATTTACTAAATTTTAAGAAATTGAAATTTGACCCTGGATGAGACTTTATTAGAGATTGGACCCCAGCTTGTCTGAAAAACTGGGTTCCTCTTCTATAATTGGAGTCCGGGAAGCAAAATATGGGGTTAACGCATTCCCTGGACTGTCCATGGCTCTATTCCGACCCACTTTCATAATTCATTAATTCATAATTTATGGTTTTATTTATTCACAGGATATTATTCTTACAACAACAGATACATGAACTTGAGAGGTTAAAGAATGAATCCACATCTAATACATAACGGATAATATGACTGCAAGATTTGGTATAATTTATCACTTATGTTGCATATATGTAATCAGCTGACCCATTGTTACAGACGTACAGGGTGTAAATAAAACAAACAAAGCTGTTATTGGTCTCTCCTCGTGCTCTGCTTTCTTTATTCATCATTTAGCGATTTCAACTTTTTGCTTCAAAGGGGCTGTATATTGACCTGTATTTGTCTATTTAATTTTGCTGTCAAGCATCCAGACATGAATTGTTTTACGGGATTTAGAACACTTAAGTATTTGTGTTTTGTCTTCCTCGCTGTGTCATATTGAATGAGATCGAAACTTGTAATCGATGAGAAATTGTCCATTTCATTGAAAATGTAAAAAATGTACGAAACTTTGCACCAATAGTCAGTTAAAAAAAAATAGCGATGTTTGTAGTTTTCCTGAAATTTCTCCAGTGTGACCCCCACCCACTTTCGACACTTTCCCGCCCACCATGAAATTAAAATAATTACAATTCAACAGCTTATCATAGTGTATTGTATTGTGTAATGTGACTACAATTCAGAAAAAAGTTATTGAAATATATCTTTGAATTGTATTGCCAATCATATGCTATATGGTTTCTGTACAGTACATGAAACTACTTATTTGCTATCTTAAAGGTTCATCTCTTATAGATATGCACAGAAATTCAAAATCAAATAAATTATATCATTAACTAAAATGACTTATTTCAACTGAATAGAGGCAGTCATTTACCCAAGTGCTACTAATAGATCAAATACGGTTTGCTGCAAACATTAATATTTACACTACTAGAAATGTGAAGTACATTATCCGTTAAAATGTTTTGTTTTGTTTCCTGGTCTGAAAGTGCAGAGAAAATGGGGTTCCAGGCGGGCAAGTAAAATACACTACCAGGTCAAATAAGCAGCATGCAAATAATTTTCTATATATGACTATTCTACCATTTGTTTTATCTGAACTAATATTGTACTCGTCCGACTTGACGCCCGTGCTCGACTTAAGTGCCCACAACCTACTCTCAAAACACCCCAAAATTGAACCGCCATGTAATGAAACCCTGTCATTGAACATTGTTTCTTTCCTGCATAATTAGCGTCAGTTGTGACTATTGTACATAGGATGTAAACGGTATTACAAGTGTTAAATACTTTTTTGACACTCAGTTTGTTTTTTTTTAAATTATCTCGCCGTTTATTAGAAATCAGTAATTCACTTCCAAATTACGTTTTTCAAAACACAACTTATTTCCAATTTTATTTTCTCCGAAGATGTGCAATATTCTCCATAATCTGGTCATGGTGAACAAGAATTATTTGGATAATTTTTCATAGGTGGTTGCTCGATGCCTATCTTCTTGAAAACTAGCTTTCTTGACCCGAGTACCCCTAGCTCAAAGTCGAACGAGTATGGTAATTTGGTTATTTTTTTTGAGAAATCTACTGTGATTGCTAGCTATTTACCTTATTCTCTTGTTGCAAATTAATTGAGCACAGTTTCAGCTTTGTTTGTTTTCACCCTGTTCATTGACCCTCATAAGTTTTAATTTGATGTGAAGGTGTACGATATCTTTGTGGTTCTTTCAGTTTGCGATAAAATTGCTGAAAACTCTGAATTAATTGTTAAATATTTTCTGTCATAGAACCATGCTGCGATAATTCTCCCCAGAGAGTTGGCGTTTTTTACGTACTTCACTCCCTCACTTGATACAGCAAGTTGAGAATCGCATCTTTTACTGGACCATACAACAAAAATCGCACAAGACCATTTTTGACCTTGTTTCTTTGGACCAATAATCTTGTACAACTTCAGTAACCTAGAGTTTCCTCATCAGCATTTGAAGTACGCAATTACCGACAACTCTTCTGTTACACACTCTGTATTTATAACGTTTTGTATCTTTGAAATGTACAAGATTTCAGCTAACGGCCGCGTTTTGGCCCTATAAATATATGCTCAAAAAGGTTTTAAATGCAAGTACGCATGTGTCTGCGTACTCATCTGTGAGCTACTCGTCAATAGTGACGCAACAGACTGTCTTATTTATTGAAGAATAGGAGACTTACACAGATTTGTAAATGAAGCGTTTTTGTTTTTTTAAATTAGTCTCCTTAAAGTTCAAAGACAAATGCAAAAAAAAAATGTTTGTTAGAATCAGAGTTTAAACAGTGGAACATCCAAATAGCTATTTTGATCTGTTTTGTGGAGAGTTAGTTTTGGGGTTGATGTTCATATTTTATTTTATGATGTACCTATTCTAAATTCTAGTGTTTTTTTTGCCAATTTTCCTGTTTCTTCCAATAAAATTGTACTTACACGTATACCCCCCACTGCCACATAAGATGCTTGGTTCATTTCAGGTCTAGGGAGTCTTTTGTAGCTTCACAACTGGTCTCTGGTATCATTGTTTGGTCTGGGGAACCCCCGCCTGTTTTTTGTTTGGCCTAGCGGGTCTTTAGTTTCATCCCCCCTGGTTCAGCAATTGTAGATGACATTGCTGCTGTTCTACATACATGTATCTATAACAGCATAAAGGTTTGATAAAAAAAAACATTTGTGTCAAGAGTCTTGAACTTAACTAGTCTTATGCCGATTATTGATGATAGATAGCTCCAGGCTAAAGGTGTGGTGAGGTAAAATGAAATGAGTTGGCAAAGATTCTGCTGTGGTTTCTTCAATTTGATTGACAATCTGATGTCTTATAGACTGTTTTTCCAGTTATGTAAAATTAATTTAAATATTAGAAGAAAAAAAAAATGAACAAATCCTCCTACCTGCATCCAGTTAAAACTCGAGTTGGGTTCCCCTTGGTTATTTTTAGAAAGCTGCTCAGTGGTACAGTGAGACTTGTTAGATTGATTTGACGAGATTAAGAGGTTTACGTCTGGTTTTAAATGCCTCGTCAAAGTAGTACTTGAATGGAAACTTGCAAGAATTGGTCCTCTTTCCTGTGCTGAACTTAGTCAGGAATCCATCTACGAGCAGATCATTCTACAACTGATCGTGATCATTTGGATCATGCGACTAGCTACAATTGTGGCCAATCAAGACAAGTTGCAATGGTGGGTGTCACTGAGATTCAAGTACAAGATATGGGCAAGGTGGGCTGTTGGAAGTCATGCATGGATTAGAATCTTCATTGTTTTGTATTACATTTCATTGTATTATACTGTTCTTTTTATGAATGTAATTGACACATTGAAGGTGTAGGACAAAGGACAACTTTACTAGATAACACATGATATGCTTGTACGTTCGTCTCACACCCCTTTCTGTTTAAAAATAAAAAAAGACCTTTTTTTCATAATGCATATATAGTTTCTGTTTGTTCATTTCTCAACAACTAGACTATTATTTACGACCTCCATGCACCTAACTCGGCTGTGATTTTCAATTTTGACAAACGTTACCCCCATATTGTGCATGATTAAAGCTTATTAGGATATTGAATTATTGCCTAAGAATTGGACTTTTTTTAAAAAATGGTTCATCAATCTTGTGGATGATTCATCTATCTGCTAAGAAAAGGCTGCCTCCCTATCCATATTCATCTGTATTTACGGTATGTTCAGTTGCCCTAAAGATATTTGTTGCCTCTTGAGGGCGCTGGATCATGTGAAGCTATTTTGGTTGAAAGAAGTATGAGTTTACTTGTATCACGTGCTTGTATGTAATTCAACGCTGAAACCACGATAAGTGAATTATCCATCCAATGTGTGAAGTGTGTCGCGCCCTCTAGTGGTGGAATAACATTCGCACAGTACAACGTGTCATGGCGTACCACTCGCAAGGGATGCCGGGAACCAGCGAAAGTACAACGCACTGTAAAACCTTTCACGACAATTTAGAAACATGCGATAAAAGCTCTCATTCAAATGATCGAATGCTATTTTCTTTCTAGTTCTGTTTATGTAAAAGCTGACAATAATCGCTAAAAAGTGGCAGGCTTTTGGTGGAGAATATTTGTGAGGTAAACTGACGTTTCGGTCGCTGATTTTTTTTTTAAAGGCGAATGTTTCAGCGGTGACTTTGTTGAGTATTTTTGGAATGAATTTAAAAATTACGTGAGAGTGTTAGAGCCAAATATAGGACGAACAATTCAATTTATCGTGACTGGTGTAAAAATGTTACATGTGTACCGATGTTAAAATAATATGTTTTCTTTTCGACCTGTTCTATGAATTAAAAGTTGGAAATGTAAAATATTTGTTTATATTTACCAATACTGAAATATTGATGTGTAATGTAAACATACCCAACTTGAATTGAATGCCTTGACATTTTAATGTAAAATTCTGATCTATCATAATTGTTTTTTATTGTGCGAATAAATACAAAACAATGGTTATTAAAATGTACGTATGTGATATGTTCAATCTTTCAGGAAGACGAAACACCAGTATTTCTATTATATCATGAAAAGCTACCTTGATTAAACGTTTCAAAAAGCCAAATCCCCGCCGAATAACTACTCGTAACGGAAGTAGTACAGAATCGACATTGTGCAGATAGTTTCTCCTATAGATATTTAGTGTTTACATTCTTTCGATGAAGTTTATGTGAAAAAAAAAAACGACAGGAAATCTGTATACAAGAAATGTCCTCGATAACCCTGCATACTACTGATCAATCTGGCTTTTTTTTGTATATTTATTTTATTTTTATCTAGTATTTAGGATGGAATTTAAAAAAATCCCAAAATCAAAGTAAAATAATAAAATAAAATAAAAAGGCATCTATAACAAAAGTAATACAAAATAAAATTAAAATAAGTTTATAGCCACTGATTGCAGTATCTGCCTCTTCCTAAATAAGTTTTCACTATTTTTGCCGACGATGGCGCTGTTTACGGTAGGTTAATTATTAGGTGGTCAAGTCAACATAACAGATACACGGGGCTGACAACATTTTTCCCTGTAAAATTAGTTCTTAGTTTACGAAAATGAATATAGATGAAAACATTCTTTTTTATTATGTATTCACTAGCAAAACGAATAACTTGATACATTTTTTTTATTATTTATTTATTTACCAGCAAAAAGAATAACTTGACACATCAAACCATAGACCATCTAAAATAAGATCAAACGAGAATACAGTATTTTCTCTACTCTTTCAAGAATTGCATTTTCACCAAAACGCAATTACAGCTCGATAGGAATTCTCGCAATGCTAGTTATAGAGGGACTGTGCCTGGCTTAAAGGCCTGTAGTCGTCTCACCATGCTTGCACGGGTCATGGAAAGGTGGCGATTTTGACTGTTGCGCCGACCAACGACTACAAACTGGGACGTTACTAAGCTTTAATTAGATAATGTTTTTGTTATTGTAAGATATCGAATTAGTCGCCGGCGTAAATTAGTGAACGTCGCTCCCAGGTCAAAACTCGTGCTCGTGATTTCATTAGAAGAGCGTTGGATTGGGGGAAAATCAAAGTTTATCAACATAAATGTCGCACATACGTGGCAACGTCCACGTTCGCTATTACGGCACACAGTGCTAGAACCAAACACTATAATACGTTATGATATTGACACAACACAGAAAAATACGACAGTATTATGCCGGTAACTGAACCTAAGACTTATCCTACGCATAAAATGACAGTGCAAAACTAGCTATCATGATTTGCCTTACTCATCAACGCCAAGGTTACGAACATTTGAACTCCAGCAAATTATATTGTTATCAAATTCAATCAATTTATAATTTAATTTATTTAATCGCTGAAGCTTGCCAAGAAACATAATAATTTTTTCTAGGATTAAATTGTAGTATATTGCTGGACATTCAGTTTATTAATTGACCAATACTCATGAATTGTGACATGATGGATGCCACATGTTCTTTCAGAAAGTTCAGCATTCCGCATGAACCATGCTTATTTTTGCATTTTCAGCGGGCGAAGTGAATTATTCATGGACAGAATACTTCCATGTTGTCAAAAAGTACTGTTATGGAAAAAGCATGGAAGTTCTTTTAATATTTTTTGGTTGAATTTAAGTTCGATATTTTACTATGTATATCAATGGCACTGAGCATTGTAGACGTATGATGAGTATAATGCACGCACTGAATTGTGGGTTATCTGTAAAACCTATTATGATTTACACCATGTTGTACGCTCGCCTGACATGTAGGCGTGAGTAGGCCCTCGCCGACCGAACGGCATCAGACTTCACTGTGTTGGTTTGGCGCACCGCGGAGGGCGCATCGCACGCGACCTCGTCAGGCTAGTTGTACGCAAGCACAGTGGCTGAATAGATCAATTGGCGATTTATAATGTTAGTTGTTATATGCCGTAACTTGGTTATAGCACACAAAGTAAAGAAAACTACCTTATGCGAAATGTGTGCGACCTCAACAATTTTAACACGTTGTAGAGCCGAATCATTATTCTGATATTCAAATATATTGTTAAGATACACCATGGCCGACCCGAGAAACAGGCGCGACGGACAAACGAACGAACGAACGGACAGATGGACAAGCATCAACGGAAATGAAATTATTCGTCCGCGACCCCGATTGGGGAAAAAGTAATAATTCAAGTTGTGCAGGAATGCCAGTAACAACTGCATGCAGTGATTATTTAAGTCGCATAGGCTTACATGCCATTGGGAATTTTACAGTGGTTGTCTGATTAATACATTCCTAACATGGTAATACATTAGTATTGAGTGTCCATATAGTTATCGTCTCGATCGGATGGGCGCCGATTACTTGGGGATATAATCTACCATAACTCCTAAAATTTCACCGCAAATATAATGGTCGGTCATGAAAGTTCTTATTCAAATTCAAAGTTCAGTGTAAGTCTGGTTTCTACCTATAAGTGTGACAGTCCCGAAAAAGAATGCCGGAAATTAAAACTTTGAATAACAACATCATGGTTCTCAAATAAAGAAGCCCCGTCAGTCTACTTTGCATTTATAATGCCACACTCGTTAATTGAAAAGGGAAAATACGAAAAAACAAACAAAACGCAAATACATTTTTGTATTTATGTAATCGGCCAACCGACTCGGAACTCAATAACGGGTTGCGATATCTCTTCTGTGGCTGGCGGATCCAGTAATTCGGTAAGGGACGCTCCCGGGGGGGGGGGGTGTCACTCTATATTAAAACCTTACACCACAGTCCCTCTATCAAGTTTCCACCGACAGTTGTCAATTTTGTACGTGTAAGAACCTTGTTTCGCTAATTACAGATTTGTGATTATCTGTAATTAGCGAAACAAGCCATATACGTATTAAATATTATTATTTTCAGCATATATTTTGTAAATATTGAGCATATAAAACCCACATTCACTGAATACAGTTCAATTTTTATTATGTGTGTTATCCTGTTTTGTTTCGTTTCTTAGATTACAATAAGCCTTCTCCATATGCTCGTGTTGGAAGTGGCGGGTAAGTACCAGTGGGAAAGTGGCGGACGTTTGCGGCCTAGTCGGGGCTATGGGTCCGCCAATTCGGAGCCTGGGGCGGTGTATGAGAATGATAATTGCGAGAGAGGGCCTACACCGGGCGCAGCAACCCTGTGAGTTTATTTTTAGGGGCCTATTGCAGACATTAGCTTTTTAAAGGGTGCCAATTTGCCTCCGGCGCGCGGGCTCGCTCTGGAAGGTGAAAAACACCCCGCTTCCCCGCTATATTTGGAACGCACACGGGGAAGTAAAAAAGGGCTCCTGTTGACGTGGGCTGGGTTTGTCAATTGATTTGTTATTTTTTTTGCCGGCTGAAGGGGGGCGCCTCCTCCTAAATCCGCGCGTGTCTATGACACATTTCTATGACACACTTAACAAAGTGTCACTCAAGATTCAATTTCAAGTGTAGATATTCGGGTCATATTTTTCGGCTAATCGTCCTTACCAGAGCCTAGTCTTTACCAATGACAGTTAGGTTCAAGATATTTGCCTAACAATTCACCCTATAAGGAAAATAAAAAACGTACATACCGAAGTCCAAACTTATTACACTAACATTATTTTTGGTCATTTTTAGAGTGTAAAAGAGGGAGGGTGTTATCTTCGTACAAGGAGATTGGATAATGTGTCGAGCAAAATTGTACTCACCATATTAGATTATTTTTTGTCATTTTTGAGGAATTCTTGTCCTTGTGGGCAAAATTTTCCCTCATTTAAAATTGAGGGAGAATCGTACACGCCCTTTTTTATTTTTCAAAATAACAGTACATATACAACACAATGTTTTTTAAAGGATTCACTGACTTTTAAATATAAACAAATAGTAGCTGATTCATTTCAAAATGTGCGCCTGTATCTGTTTCAAGGAGACATTTTTGCTC